TGTGTTTCAGGGACACATTAAGCTGCGGCCGACCTCTCGCGCAGCGTTTGCCTGGTTTGATCTTATTGCGTGCGGCACCGCACGCGCCTGACCCTTGGTCGGGTGGGCTGCTCCTTCGCTAGCGCCACGGGTGTCTGGCTCGATGGCTGGCTCACCGCGCCGGTTGTGCTGATGTCGGTTCGCAGATTCACACCCTACCAATGCCTTGTCGGACCGTGCTGGAACAGCGTTCATTCCACCCATCGGCTGGTCTGGCAGCTGTTACATTTTTTGTTGCGTTTCATTGTCTAAACCGTTCTTATTGATTCAGTGACCGCTGGTTCGCACCAGAGTGTTTGCGCTCTTAATTTATTTTGAGTTGAGTAGCCTCCTCACTTTTCTCGTCGCTGCACGTTTACAGTTCCTCTTCCACACCCCCCATTGTTGCACTCTTCAGTGTGCGACGCTTCGTACACTGTATTTCCGACGATGCTCGATCGCAATTAGCACTGCCATCTGCTGCTCGCGCTTGAGGACCCTTTGCGCCGCCGACTTGAAAGTGTTTGTGTGTGTGTGTGTGTCTAGAGGGTGCGCTCTCTAAAACCCCCCCCCTGCGGTGGTCCCGCACCCCGTCCATCCGTACGCCTGACCCGGCCCGAGGAGGCCCCAATCTGCCGGTGAGATGCGGCCTCCCCCACCCTGGGGCCTACTCCACGCTACTCGTCTTCGGGTGGCAAAGCTACCCCCCTTCCCTGTTGTGGGACTGGGGGGTGGTGCCAGGGCCGGACGACGGTGCGCTGGGCCTCGACCGCTGGGGCTACTGCTCCTTCTCGCATCGCGTGGCACCCACGGCGCGTCTACGCACCCAGGGCAGACGATGACGCGACCCATCTGATTCAGGTCTGCGGCACGTTATGCATGATCCGCTGGATGGAGGTTCCCCCCCGAGAGTTGTCGTTGGCCATGGCCACGTGACCACGGTGCCCCAGAGAGTCCGACGCACTTGTGACACGGCCCATCTGCTCAATTACGCCCCTGCGTCGGATGACGATCCTGACGACGTCCTTGCTGGCGCCCTTTAGCTACTGGCGTGGATCCTTCCTGGATGCTGCCGGGACGCCGACGACTGCGCCCCCGACGACCCCGACCGACGGTGCACAACGGAACGCCCCCCCACTCGCCACCGCCCACTTCCGCACCTTGGGCGCTCCACGACGGCCCCCCTCCATGGGGGCCGCATCTTGTCTGCTCCGTGCTCGCCGCCTGTGGTCTGTTCGCCTTTTCCTGTGTTCCGGTTGGGCTGAGGAGCCAGCTGCACACTGCCTCCACTGCTTCTCGGGTGCGCCCCCACGTCTCACCACGGCGGTGCTTCGTTTCGGCTTCCCGTTCCGCCGCTGCGCCCAGTGCGCCTCGCGGGCGTTGCCTGTCTGACACTGCTTTTCTAGTGTCCCACTGTCCCCGTCCTCTCGTCTTCCTGCTTTTTCGCCCTTCCTTGACCTCTCGTCGCCGCCTGCCTGGCTGCACTGTGCCTCTCCTTCGCTCCTCACGCTCACTGTCGGCTGCCACTCCACCCTGCCCCATCCTCGCTGCCCATGCCTGGGCCTGCTGCGCTTGGCCTGGCTGATCCTTTTTGAATCCCTGATCCCTGCTCCATCTTCTGAAGACTGGCCACGCGCGCTGCTAGTTCGATCTGCCTTACTGTCTCCGCCTCGTCGCTGCGCGCGAGGCTGCGATCGCCCAGAAGTGTGTGTGTGTGTGTGTGTGTGTGTGTGTGTGTGTGTGTGTGTGTGTGTGTGTGTGTGTGTGTGTGTGTGTGTGTGTGTGTGTGTGTGTGGGGGGTGGGGGTGTGTGGGGACGCGTGCGTGCGTGAGTGCGTGCGTGCGTGTGTGCGTGCGTGCGTGCGTGCGTGCGTGCGTGCGTGCGCGCGTGCGTGTGTGCGTGCGTGCGTGCGTGCGTGTGCGTGTGCGTGTGCGTGTACGTGTGCGTGTGCGTGTGCGTGTGCGTGTGCGTGTGCGTGTGTGTATATTTACGTGTGTGTGTGTGTGTGTGTGTGTGTGCGTATGCGTGTGTGTGTGTGTGGGTGTGGGAGGTGAAGTTGGAGCCCGACGTCATCAGGTACAGCTGAAGCCCAATGTCGTCAGCTACGGCGTTGGGATCAGCGCGTGCGAGAAGGGCGAGCAGCGGCAGCGGACCCGGCGCCGCTGTTCGAAGCGCGGGGTTCGAAGCTGGAGCCCAACGTTATCAGCCTCAACGCTGGCATCAGTGCGTGCGAGGAGGGCGGGCAATGGCAGGGAGCAGCCCGCTCAGCGTGACGTGGGAAGCGAAGCTCGAGCCCAACGTCACCACCTACAACGCTGGGACCAACCCGTGCGTGGCAGGCGGACAGTGGCAGTGGGCTCTGGCTCTGCCTAGCGTGGTGCGGGAGGCGGATGTGGAGCCCGACGTCATCAGCTGCAGCGCTGGGATCAGCGCGTTGAAAGGCCTGCGTCGGCAGTGGCTCCGGCGCTGCTCTGAAAAACGTGGCAGGCGAAGCTGGAGCCCAACGCCGCAAGCTACAACGCTAGGAACATCGCTTACGAGAAGGGCAAGCAGTGGCGACGGGCTTTGGCGCTGCTGTGCGAAGGGAAGGGGGCGAAGCCGGAACCCAACGTCACTGCTACAACGCTGGGTCTATGCGTGCGAGAAGGGCGGGCAGTGGCAGCGGGCTCTGTCGCGGCGTCACGAGAGGTAGGAGGCGAGGCTGGAGCCTGACGTCTTCCGCTATAATGTTGGGATTAGCGCGTGCGAGAAGGGCGAGCAGCTGCAGTGGCGTGGGCACTTCTGAGCGAGCTGTTGGAGGTGAAGCTGGAGCCCAACTTCTTCAGCTACAATGCGGGGATCAGCGCTTGCGAGAAGTGCGAGCAGTGGCAGCAGGCTCTGGGGTTTCTCGGTGTGATGCGCAATGTGAAGCTTGAGCCGAACGTCATCAGCTACAACGCTGAGATCGTCGTGCGTGGGATGCGCGGTCTGTGGCGGCAGGCGTTGTCGCTGCTCGTCGAGATGTGGAATAGCTATTTGGAGAAGAACGCAAACAGCTACAAGAGCCCAGTGTCATCTGTACTACAAGTCCGGGCGAAGCGCCCGCGAAAAGGACAAGCAGTGGCAGCGCCCCGGGCCGCCCAGAGAGCTCGCGGGCCGCCCGGAGAGCCTCCGGGCCGCTGCCCGACGGGCCCAGGAGGCCCCCGGACCGCTCGCGGACTGATCCAGGATTCCCAGATCGCTCCCAGACGGCCTCCAGAGGTCCCGGAGACGGCCCAAGACGGTCCAAGAGTGTATCCGAGACGCTTAAGATGGCTTCAAGACGCCTTCAAGACGGCCCGAGACGCCTCCACGAGGCCCCCAGAGCGCTCGAAGTGCACCTCCAAGAGGGGCCGCAGAAGCCCAAATCGCTGATTTTCTTTAAGCCAAATGTTTTTGGCCTTCTCGCTTGTTCGGCTTTCCGACGCTCCAAGGCCGCCCAAGAGGCCCCCAAGACCTTTCCAAGACGGCCCAAGAGGCCTTCAAGACGGCCCAAGAGGGCCCCAAGACGGCCCAAGAGTCGCCCAAGACGGCCCAAGAGGGCCGCAAGAAGGCCCGAAGAGAGGCCCAAGACAGGGACCCGGAACCGACAAATCTAGGCCTCCACCCCAAGAGGCCTCCAGGAAGCCCCAAGACGCCCCAAAGAAACCCCGGGACGCTCCCAAGACATCCCCAGGAGGCCCCAGGACGCCCCAAAGAGGCTCCAAGAGGCCCTCCAGAGGCCCCCAGCCCCAAAAGGCCCTCAAGAGGCCCCCAAGAGGCCCCAAAAGAGGGCCCAAGAGGCCCCAAGAAGCCCCCAAACTGTTACCAAGAAGCCCCCAAACTGTCTCCCAGAGGCTCCCGAGAGGCCAACCACGAGATCCCAACCAACATCCACGAGATGTCTTACCCATTACCCAGGCCCGCGGCGAGATTGCCCGCAGGCCACTACAGCCGGTTCGGGGGCCCTATGTATACCAGCACCCGCACCCTTGGCTCACCGCTGCTCTCTCGGCTCTGCTGGCTTCGACCTGCCAGAGCTCTGAGCCGCTCCCCGACGGCCCCAGGACGCCCCTGGAGCGCTCCCCGACGGCTCCTGGACCCCCACATCGCTCCAAGACGGCCCCAAAGGCGCCCAAGAGAGCCGAAGCCGATCCGGCCAGAGCCCCACGACGGCCTCGAAATGCCCCAGAGGAGACGTGCCTCGAGGGCCCCGTGGACCGCGCCAAAAGGCACCAATTACCGTTTCCCGAAGGTTTGGGAGGATTCTTGCTCTTCCCGCCATTTCGGGACACGAACGGCCCTTCACGGCCCCAGGACCTTCTCAGATCACCCCTAGACTGCTCAACAGAACCCGAGGACGGCCTTCATATGGCCCAAGAAGGGCCAACGGCGGCCGAAGAAGGCCCCAAGACAGCCCAAGAGAGTTTCAAGTCACGCAGAAGACAGCGACAACTGTGCCCCAGGTGCCGCCCAACAGAGCCCAAAACGAGCTCCGAGACGGCCCGAGACCCCCAAGATGGCCCCAAGGCGCCCAAGACGCCCCAAGAGGCTCCCGGCACTGCCTCGGAGGGCTCCGAAAGTTGCCCCGGACGAGCCCCT